CCACTCATCGGCTGGGCAGCCTGGGCAAGTCACTCGTCCCGTCTGAATGTCAGGTGGAAAGTGCCCCGAAGCGACAAGTATTTATCGAACTGACATTTGTGGAGGACCTCTCAGTCCAGCACTGTACGTGCCCCAGCTCTCTAGAAACTATGTGGGAGCTCAATCCACATTTGCTGACTTCCCTGAGTATCTCTTAAACCACACTAGGGGTCTCTGTGGGACGAGGAGGAAGCGGAGGCTTTCCAGGTTCACAGGCTCCCCAAGGTTACTTCGCTAATATAACAGCTCTAGGATTCAAAGTCACACCTGACACTTGAGCCGAAGTTCTTACCTTCTAAACTTATGGATCCCGTTATCTATCGCTTAGTGGGCGTGTGGTAAGTGCTCAGTAAATGCCTAAAAACAAAATTACAACGAGAGACCATCGTGCTGTACGCTTAGGATCTGTGCGCTTTTCTGCGTACACGATACCTCAAAAAAATGTTGACAACAAAAGCAAAAAATGGGTTGTGTTTGTGAAGCTCGGAATGAATTTTGTGGACGCGCCGAGTGCCCCAGTTGTGCTAAACTGAAGATCTGTCAGCGCACTGCACGCCGTGATCTCAGCGCAACAATCCTTTTAGAACTGCTGGTGTTTTATTTTGTGTCTGTTTTCTCCTGGGCCCCTGTCTGACCTCCTTAGAAAGTTAACCCAGAGAAATGGCGACGGCTCCTCTCTCACTCTCAGCTGTCAAATCGAGACACAGTTACTGTCTTCTGTTTGGGTTTAGTCACTGAGGTTTTCAAATTGTCAGGAAAACACACAGATGCCGGCAATTTTCAAGCGAAATCGCAAAACAGCTAAAGAAACCAAACTGAGCGCCAGCATGCGGGACCAAATGGATTCGCAGGAGGGGTGCCGGCTAGCAGCTTTCTCGAAAAGCATAAATAGAGTGGAACAGCCAATTTTATAATTAACTGGGAATCGGTCCCCAGTTAAGCTTCTGCTCAGTGAGAATGGCCAAGCCGTTCCCCCAGGGGAGAGCTGGTGCCCTGCCTCTTCCCTTGGGCCCCAGAGGACCTGAGAATTCTCGGCTTTACCCCGTTTGAGTGTGTTTCGGGATGTGAGTGTTTATCGCTTGGAGTCAAGCTCAGTGTGTGGGCAGGACACTTGGGAGAAAGGCACAAGCCATGCGTCAAATGAACACGGAGACTCTTATTCAACCGTTATTAAGAATTTCCTGATAATGACTAAACCTAGTGGGAGGCCCTTCTAACCGAGGGACCGTGTCTACATCCGTGACCCTGATCCTGGGTATACTGGATCACACCTCCAGAAGCTGGGGGGACATCAGGAGGTGGGATCTCAGGTTATGGGCAAAATATAGCCTCAGAGACTCAAGGGCACAGGACCCACAAGAGGGAAGCCAGGGAGGCAGCAGGAACCAAATCAGCACCCCGCCCCACGCTGCAACATGGACCACAACAAACAAATCCAATAGAACAATCCTTTCTGGAAGGCAATTTGGGCAAGAAGTGTCACAATCTCACAAACCCTTTGTGCTTACAAATCCGCCTGTCACACTCTTTTCTACTATTACCTCTACACAAGGGAACATGATAATGAACGTGAGGGCGCTTATCGTCATGTTACTTGCGACTGACAGATAGAAATAATCCAACCCCTGTCAAAGGGGAGGGTTACTGCTTCCCCACGAGGATCTTTCCTGAATATGCGCCATGTAGGTGACCCTCTTGTGACTCAACTACTCAATGACATCATCTAGGACCAAGTTTTTAAGTTTTCTATTTGTGTTGAGTGTGGGACCCACTTCGTTCTGAGCCTGGATCACCACTGTGTGCTTGCCACCTCCGTGGGGCTACCCGCTCTGCGTCCTGGGCTAGAGCTGGTTGTCTCTGGCCTAGAACTCCCAGCCAAAGTCCTGCATGTTCCCTTCCTTGAATCAATTATTGTGGCTGGAGGAATGCACCTAATGTTTCTTTTCTTTTCTGGTTTATTGTTTGTTTTTTAAATAATAGCTTGACAGAGAGCTCATCCATGGATGGCTTTCGGATGGAGGTCGAGTGGATCCAACAGAGGAGTGAGCTGAAGGAAGAGGGTGCAGTGGGGGTGAAAGCCAGCTTCCAGAGGGTGAGGAGCCCTGGCTGGGGCCTGATGGGTGCTGGGGCAAGGGGAAGAAAAACATGACAGGAGCCAGACGGGAACAAGAACAGGAAGGGGCTCTACCTCGCATCTGGACTGATGCAGTATCCTCTTCACCGGTTTCCCTGCCCTCCCCTTGCTCCCAGCCGTCCGGTCTCTCCCTTTTCCATGCAACAGTCATATGATCTTTTTATAATGTAAATTAGATCATGCCCTCCTTAGATTAATTCATTTAGCAAATATTGATGAGTGCCTATCACATGCCAACTACTGTTCTGGACACTGGGGATACAACAGTGAACACTGTTCACTGTTCAAAGCAAAATCTGTCCCCTCGTGGAGCTAACATTCTAGTGGAATTCAAAGTGCTCTGCTCACAAGTTAGATGTCTCCCCATCTCTCTGAGAGACAGACAACCCTGTGTCCTTGTTACCTATGACTGCACGGGCACCCAAAACTCAGCAGTGTAAAGCAGCATTCACTGTGATGATAATGATGATGACGACGACAAGGACAATGGTGACGGCATCATCCGGGGCTTGACAGGGCTCAGCCGGGCCCTTCTCACTCAGGGACTTGAAGGGACGCTCCACAAGCCTGGGGTCATTGCCCATCTTCTTTACCACTGCCTCCTCAGTACCTAGACCCAAGCCAAGCACATTCTCATACTCCATCCTTATTGGTTCCGTGAAGGAGGGAATGGAGACAGCATCCACACGGAAACCTCCTTGGTTTAGAATACAGTTCAGCTACGATAGCCCCTGGTTTCCAAAACATGTGGTTGTATGGGAGATGGGGTCCCCCAAGGGCCTGATGGTCTGCCACCGCGGCTCCAGTGCAGAATACACATTGCTGGGCACAGAAGAAGTGGTTTGGGGAGATGCCCCCGCTGCAGGAAACCAGTCAGCCATCATGCATTCGCCAGCAATCTAATTTCACACAATCCAAGGGATTGGGGCTGGGGTGGGTAAAGGAGAAACCCATGTGGACGACTAAATAGACCCAGGAGCTTTTTTAGACTCACAGGACAGTGGAAGCCTCTGGGTGGCGCAGGGCCAAGAACGTTAATATAGTCACTGTTTCTCATTAACTTCTACTTACTACCTGTGGTGATAGATATTCCCTTTAGTGGTTAGGATATTAGGTTTCTTTTCCAAGAACAGATGTAAGTAAAAATGTGGCCCTTGATTAGGGAAAAATAGTAAGGAAACAATTGTACGGGACTAATTAGATACAGATAAAAATGATAAAGGTGGTAGGTAAATGTCTCAATTTCATGAAACACTGATTCATTGAAAAGAGCTGCACAAATGACCTGTGGTTAGCAGGAGGGAAAAGTCTCCTAGCATTACAGTGACATCAGTACCTCCACCTGCCAGAGGGGAGGACCCACAGAGCTGTGTCTGCCCTGGAAGCATTTCCTTGGCACCCAAGTACAGGGGAAATGTTCGAAGACTACGGTGTCTGTCTTATGTGTGCGATCCAGGCTGCCATAAAGGCAATTTGGGGTTTTTAAACCACTGGCACCTGGTCCACTAAGTTGGTCACACTGGGCACAACCATATATCACGCCCCCAGTCGGCTCACATGTGTGTGCAACTTCCTTCTTGAGCTCTCATCTGTTCGCCGAAAGAAGGAAGGAACACAGCAGGCCAGTGTTTCCCAGATGCTCCAGGAACCTGGGGAGGATGTTCCAAGTGCAGTTTCCCGGGCCTGGGGCCGAGCTCCTGGGTGGTCTCTGGAGGTGGGTCTCAGGACAGATCTGGATGAACGGTTTTGCGGTGGGAAGCATAGGGGGAAACATAGTGGAGGGTGTCTTCTATCGTAAATAAGGTCTTGAGTAGAAAGGGACTTTCCAAGGGGACACCAACGGCTTGCCCACACTCTGCAAAGCAGGGCCCATGTGATTCTGTGGTGGTCTCCGCCAGATCTGGGAGAAGGAGTGAGTTCATTGCTACATTTCAGAATCAGTACATACGGGGGCCTCCTCAGCCTGCTCTGTTTCCCAGCGGCGGCAGTGTTAAGTGTTGACATCTAGCTAGTGGGTAATCCCATCAGTATCCCCCCTATTCTCAGGTGTTTTACTAGATCTCCCCATTGAAAGGTGTGGTTGGTGTTAGGGGGTCCCGTGGTCGGATATGTGGATGCCCCTTGCGTACACGGGAGTATGTATTCTTACATGTGGCCTTGATGAGTGCCTGTGGCTGGGCACGGAGCTGTGTGTGTTCCTCTGGGTGTTCTCCTCTGTTGGCAGGAGAAGCCGAATCCCAGTGGCTGCAGGACACAGGCCTGTCAGGCCTCCTTGGTGGCCAGAGCTTGGGCCGTGGCCACCAGGGGCTCCCGTCCACCCCGACGCGGCCCCAGGCGGTTGCCGTGTGCAGCCGGCTGCACATCTCTGCCTGCTAAACCTGCAGACAATACCGGGCACCTGCCAGAGATGTCGGGGACACCCGCAGGGTCTTCCGATCAATGGTGAGGAAGTGTCATAAGGTCACGGCAGGCCCTGTCTCCCTGGGGCCTCTGGGATGTCATCACATCCTGAGCACAACAGCAATACTACGGCAGAGCTGTGTTGGCGCGCACACGTACGTGCGTGCGTGTGTGTGTTTGCGTGTGCGCGTGCGTGTGCGCGTGCGCACAGACGGCAAGACTGCCCATCTGGGTGCTTGTCAGCCACTGTGTTCCCATGATGCGTGTAGGTCTTCAGCCCCTGTGGGGTCTTGGGCAGCTCCCTGAGCTTCAGCGGCTCTGCCTGCGAAGGGGTTGGGGACCGCTCCTGCGTCCCGCGGCCGAGCACCCCGTGCTTCCTGCACTACTAACTGGGAGCCGTTTGTCCTTTGCATAGGACGCGTCTTCAGAGATTGGGGCCTCGGGTATGAAATGGACCCAGCTCAGGTCCAGGACCTCGAAGTCTCCTCCAGGTAAATGGCCTGCATTCTCCAGGCGTCCGCATTCTCCACCTGCGCCCCCGGGGCTTGCACTCTGAGGTAAGAGAGGGCGCACCCCTCTGAGTTTTTCCATCTTTCTGCGGGTTGCTGGGGTAAAGGCCTGAATCCTTGGCCTCACGGCTTGCTTCCTGGAGTCACAATCTCAGATCCTAATCTTGGGCAATTACTACTGAGTTACGTGGGCCTGCGCAAGGGCACAAGCCTGGGAATTTGCTTCTTGGGGCTCTGGGCTTGGAGTCAATGAGGGGAGGCAGCCAGGAATGTGTGCCTCTCTGTTCTGTTTCCAGTCAGCAGCGAGTGGGGGTGGGGTGCATCCCCGCGGATGCTGCTGGGCTCCTGCCGGGCGCTCGCTGCCTCAGGGGAGGCACCTAGCTGGTGAGCTCGCTGCCCAGAGGGGTGGTGGCTGGGCCCTATCCTTTGGCACCTGTACATCTTGCATCGCCATCCTCACCCCTGCTGAGCTGCGGGGCACTGTTCACTCGCTGAATTCCTAGCACAGCTCTCTGCCCGGTAACGGCCGTGCTGGGGCCTGGGGAGCGGAGAGCTACAGGCATTCATGCTCCTTCTTCGGTCTATGTTCATTTATGTTCTCTGTTTTTACGCTTAGAAAGTCCTCCTTAATCCAGCAAACTGAAAACTGTCCACCTCCAGGTATTTTTCCTAGTTTTTTAAAAAATTCATTTTGGTGTCTGGTGTGAGAGAGAAACACCCAACTCCTGCCCTTTTCTTTCTCCCAGAGGGCTGAACTGTCCCAGCACAGTTCCTTCCACATGAGGACGTCATCATGTATAGCTATGTTTTAAAGATTGAAATAAAGTGCATGGTAAGGTGGGCAAATATTTGCCATGTGCAGCTGGATGCGTGCACCTGTTGTTAACTCCCACCAGGTCAAGGTCTAGATCGCTTTCAGCACCCCTGAAGGCTCCACTGTGCCTTTCCTAGTTAATCCCCACTGCCTAGGGCAGCCACTGTTGTGACTCTTCTTATCATGTATAGGTTTTCCCAGGTCCTGCTGTTACCAAAAGGAAGAGGTTCCTCACTGACCATATTTTGATGTCATTGGATAACCCTAGGTAGCTGGCTCTGGGCCTTGTTCCAGAGGCTTCCATGCACTGGCTTGTTTCCTTCCCTCACCCTAGAAGGTGGGTGCTGTCACTGCACCCCCACCTCACTGGTCGGAAAGGAGCAGTGAGGTTCAGAGAGAAGTGAGAGAGCCGGCTGATCCTGAGGCCAGGACTGGAGCCCCCAGCAGCCCCACCCAGTGCCTTCCTGGTGGACTGTTACTGTCCACCGCTTAGGAAATATGCCCCCTCCCCCAGTAACCTCTACTCCACAAATAGAATGTTTCTTTTTCTTTTTGAGATAAGTTTAGACTCACAAGAAGTTGCAAAAATAGTACAGAGTTCCCATGTACTCCTTACCTAGTTTCTCCCAGGGAAAATATCTTATGTAAGCACAGTACATCAAAATAATTTTTTTTTTAAATAATGACTTTCTATTTCTAAAGCATCAGAGATAATTAATGCTCAACATTATCTTACCTTCTAGCCTTGATCATTTGATTTCCCGCATTAACCCATGATGGATGATGATTAATAATCTGGAGATACTATATATGGATGTTTTACCATGGATCAGGCATTATACTCAGTACTTTACCTTTATGATTTTCATTTCTTTCTGCTATGTGGGCAATCATGCCCTGAAAAAATAAATAATTATAGTAGTTACATGAAACTGTGTTTCATATGCTTTATCTAATTTAACGCCCCCCCCAATCCTGTGAAGTAGGTCCTGTCATTAGCCCCATTTTACAAGTGAGACTGTTGACACAGAGACAGGTAAAATGATTTCCCCAAATCCATAGGGAACATCAGACTTTGAACCCAGAAGATGTGACACCACAGCTCACACCACAAGCACTAGGCTGTATGATAGCCACAACATTGTTACCTACAAGCACAACATGCTTCCTTTCCCTTCTTAGGGCACTGGAATGGGGCCCTGGGGAATACGCTGGTCAAGTTGACCAGCAATACTAAACAAATCCATCAGTCCCTCCCTCTTGCTGTCTTTGACCTCTGGCTGCAGGAATGCCTCGTGCTGCCCGCAGAACCCTACTATGGCCTCTAGACAGCGCAGTTGAGTATAATTTATTTTTTCAATTAATATTGTCATTATTCAGAGTAATAGGAAGAGGAGCATTGGATCCATGGGTGGCACTGCCAAGGGCAGAGACAGATGGGGCAAGAGAGAGCAACAAAGGACTGGAATAGAAGCAATGATAAGAGGCCCGTGCGGTGTTCCCTCCTGTTGGAATGCAAGTAATAAAAACAGCTTCCGTTTATTGGGGCCTCGCTGTGTGCTTGGCACCAGAAGTACTTTGTACCCGTTAGCCCATTTTACAAAACCCTATGAGGCAGGCACTATTTTACGGTTAGAGATGAGGATTTAGAACCTCAGAATGCAACCTAATCAGTCAGAGATAGAGCTTAAACTTGAACCTGGGATGGACGCCTGAGCCCCAGTCCTCATCGCCTCTGTTACCCACCCCCCAGTAACCTCCTGCGGGGGATGGGAGAACCTCAATGTCCTCACCAGACATGCAGCTTCAGCGATTGCCTTTTTTTCTTTTAAAGATTTTATTTATTTGGAGAGAGAACAAGCAAGCACATGAATGGGGAAGAGGGAGAGAGAATCTCAAGCAGACTCCACACTGAGTGCAGAGCCCAATGCAGGACTTGCTCATAGGATCCTGAGATCATGATCTGAGCTGAAACCAAGAGTCTGATGCTTAACCGACTGAGCCACTCAGGGGCCCCTTGAGCGATTGTCTCTACTTCCCTCCCTAGGAGTTTAGGATTCCCAAAGGCAGACTTGGCTTGACGAGGATAGAGACTTCTCCCTGCAGGATATGCAGACGATCCCTGCTCTGGCCCTCTCGAGCTGACTGTGCTCTGCACCAGTGAGGCTTGGACCTGAAGAGGAGCAAGGTAGGGAAGCGGAAGGCAACTGGTCAGCAGTCCCAGCTCCGAAAACCCTGTGGATTTCTCATCCAAGTAGCTGCGTGGAAAGGAAGCATGCTTAGCTGCCGTATTTCTTCCTGTTACATATAACAGTAACAAATATATTATGTTATATATAGAATATATATGCTGTTATATGTGTGTGTGTATATATACATATATATATATGTATATATACACACACACACATATGTGTATATTTCTGCATCTGAAAACAAACCTGCTCATTGTGGGAAATTTGGGAAATAGAGCAAAATACAAACGGAAAGATACGATTCAGATTTAAGTGCTGTCAGCTCTCAGTGCATCATCTTCCTGTGTGTGCGTGTATCTTTTTTTCAGTAAATATTAGAGAATTATGGACATTTCCCATTGTATCATTCAGCTATTGCCACAATAATGCCTCATAACAAACAATCGGCAAACTCATGATTTAAAACAACAATTACTCACTCTTGTTCACATGTATGGTGGTTCGGCTGACCTAGGCTGGCCTTGGCTCAAGCTGTTGGCTGGGGCTGGGTCTGCGTTTCATGTGTCTCATCCGCCTGGGACCAGCAGGCCATCTGGAGCCTGTCTTTATAGCAATTAATGGCAGAAGCACAAGAGAGCAAACCCTACCACATAATGCATTTTTAAATTTTTTTTAAAGATTTTATTTATTTATTTGTCAGAGAGATAGAGCTAGAAAAAGTACAAGCAGGGAGCAGAAGGAGAAGCAGGCTCTCCACTGAACAGGGAGCCTGATGCAGGACTCGATTCAGGACCCTGGGATCATGACCTGAGGCAAGGGCAGACACTTAACCGACTGAACCACCCAGGTGCCCTGACACACAATGCATTTTAAACCTCTGCATGCATCATGGAATTTATTTATCCATGGGTCAAAGCTATCACCGGGCTGACTAGCAAAGCCATGGGGAAGTATTTTCTGTTGCTTTATGGGAAGAACTGCAAATTCATATGCCAAAAGGTGTGGCTACAAGGCTGGGTAATGAACTTGGAACAATGTTACCATTTATTACAATAGTAATAACATTCTTTGGAAACGTGATTTTTTTATTATGTTCAGTTAGTCCCTGTAGAGCACATGACTAGTTCTTGATGCAGCAGTGTTTAGTGATTCATTATTTTAAGTATAACACCCAGTGCTTATCACAGCACGTGCCCTCCTCCATACCCATTACTGTGTTACCCCATTCCCCACTCTCCTCCCCTCTGAACCCCCCAGATTGTTTCTTAGGGTCCATAGTCTCTCATGGTTCATCTCCCTCGATGATTTCTCCCCCTTTGGATTTCCCTCCCTTCCCCTGTGGTCCTCATGCTATTACTTATGTCCACATATGAGTGAAACCATATGATCATTGTCCTTGTCTGCTTGACTTACCTCACTTAGCGCGATCCCCTCCAGGTCCGTCCATGTCAATGCAAATGGTGGGTGTTCATCCCTTCTGATGGTTCTGACGGCTGAACAATAGTCCATAGTGTAGGTGGACCACATCTTCTTTATTTATCTGTCAAAGAGCATCTTAGCACCTTCCATAGTTTGGCTCCTGTGGACATTGCTGCTATGAACATTGGGGTGCATGTGCCCCTTCTTTTCACTGTGTCTGTATTTTTGGGGTAAATACCCAGTAGTGCAATTGCCGGGTCGTAGGGTAGCTCTGTTCTTAACATCTTGAGGATCATCCATACTGTTTTCCAGAGCGGCTGCCCCAGCTTGCATTCCCACTAACAGTGTAAAAGGGTTCCCCTTTCTCCGCATCCTTGCCAACATTTGTTGTTTCTTTTTGAAAACGTGATTTTTACTCACGGTATTATTTTCGTCCTTAGGGATATATTCTTTTTTATTTTTAAGATTTTATTTATTTATTTGACAGACAGAGATCACAAGTAGGCAGAGAGTCAGGCAGAGAGAGGACGAAGCAGGCTCCCTGCGGAGCAGAGAGCCCGATGCGGGGCTCGATCCCACGACCCTGAGATCATGACCTGAGCCAAAGGCAGAGGCCTTAACCCACTGAGCCACCAGGCGCCCCCTTAGGGATATATTCTAATTTATTTAGCCATTTCCTTATTAGTGGACATTTACTATTTCCCTGTTTCTGCGACTGTAAAACACAACCACTATTATTGTACATACAATCATGAGTGCATCTTGGATTATCTGAAATAGACCTGTTAAGTTCTTGGTGTTTGTTACCCTTCAGTCGTGTATGAGAGTGTTCATTTCACTGCATCATTGTCAACATTACACACTGAATTTTTTATTTGTGTACTTAAAAAAAGAACAGGGGCACCTGGGTGGCTCAGAGGGTTAAGACTCTGTCTTCAGCTTGCGTCATGGTCCCAGGGTTCTGGGATCAAGCCCTGCATCAGGCTCTCTGCTCAGTGGGGATCCTGCTTACCACCACTCTCTCCCTGCCTCTCTGCCTACTTGTGATCTCTCTCTCTCTCTTTCAAATAAATAAATAAAATGTTTAAAAAAAAAAACCAGCAAGAACATAGTGGGTAAGACAGACCAGGGGTGGGAGTTTTGCAGAGAGAGGGGTAGAGAAGTAAAGAGAGAAGGAAGGTAGGGTAGATTTGGAAGGAGGAAGTTTCCCCAGAAGACTGTGAGACAGGATGAGTAGGAAGACCTGGGGATACGTCTTAGGAACTTGGCGCATGCCTGCAGGGCTAGGCCCTCTGCCCCAGACCACTGGTACGTACCTTACCCAGCACCCCCTGGCACAGCATCACCTTTTCCTTTTAACACCTTTTAAAGTCCAGCTGAGACTTTCTGGTCTGTGATGCAGCTAACATTTTCGTTATTGCCGAGATCAAAGTTTCTGCTCGAGAGACGTGAAGTTTGAGCTCAGCCATTCTGCAGAGAGCTCAGTCCCCACGCAGGGAAAGGAGTCGGACTCACGTCGCCCAGACGATCCTGCAGGCCAGAGCCCGACTGGCCTTCCACAACATGAAATGCCCCTTCTGCTCTTGACTTCCCACAGAAACATGGCTTTCAGCATGCCGCTTGACGCCCTGCCAGAAGCTGACCACAGAGCCCTCCCCAGCCCCCGGGTCCTGCTGGTCCTCCACGCCGTTAATTGTGCCCAGATTTGGCTCATTGAGCCTGTGAGAGGCTGTGTCCGAGGCCACCATTGGGAGATGTCTAGCCCAGGGGCGTAAGAACATGGGCTTTAGAATTGGACTCCTGGTTTCAAGTTCTGGCTCCGACACTTGCTAGTTTGGAGACTGGGGATGAATTTTTGAACCTCCGTAAACCTCCCTGTCAAGATCTGTGCAGTGAAGTCATAATAATAGTACCCTCCTTTTATGAAGGACTAAGTAAGAGAAATGCATATGAAGCTCTCAGAGCAGGGGCTGGCTTCTTTCTGGAAGTGGCCAAGAAAGCTGTTACCCTCCTCGTAGCTCTCTCCTCTTCCCAGTTTTCATGGGAGACAAACACACCAGTTTGAATCACACTTTTCAGGGGTGCTGGTTTAAATGCTGGCTTCCTTCTCTCATAGCTGCTGTCCTGTGTTGGAAAAGAGAGAGCTGGACATGGAAGGCATTCTCAGAGTGCTTGGATCCCAGGCCAGGGTCGAGGTAACGGTTTGGTTTTGGTTTCCCCCATGTCATCGAAGCTGCATCTCTGAGTTAAGCCATGGGAGAAGCAGTTCCCAGCTTGTCTGTGTTCTGCCTTGGGTCCTGTTTGGGTCAGGGAATTCCAGGAGGGTGGAAAGCAGGGAGGCAGCAGCATACAGCACAGGGGTGGAGTCAGCCTGCCAGCATGTCTTGGGTGAAACTTGTGCCATCACTTACTGCCGTCACAGTTCGGCCATTTACTCTGCATATCAGCCCACAGAGATGGTGCTATTGCTTTCCAGATGAGGAAATGGAGGCCCAGAGAAGTGGTAGAACAACTTTTCCTAGAGCCTTGAGCCAGCTTCTCACTGATGCCCCTCCTTCTTTTAGGGGATGAAACAAGAGCCGGAGAGAGATTTCTCCACTGGCCTTTCTGGCTGGGACAAGGTTCACCACAGTGACACGTCCCATTTGCTCAAGAGCCTCCCATTCGAGGATGTCCCAGCCCTTTACATTTGCAGAGAAGAGCATTTGATGCCACTGACCTTGGTTGGAGAGGCGACATGCTGGGAAGACAGGACTACCTCCTCCCTGTGACCTTGAGCTGATGGGGGAGGATGTACGTGCATGTACATGTGTGTGCCTGTGTATGGTGTGTACCGTATGTGTGTGCATGTAGTGTTTGCATGTACGCGTGTCACGTGCACACGTGCAAGTGTGCGTGGAGTGTATCGGGTATGTGTGTGTGTGCATGGGTATACAGTAGTGTGCCTGTATGTGTATGTCAAGGGCATGCGTGTGTGTGGTGTGTAACGGGGGAGAAGAGGAGGTGCGGCTTGCTCACCGCAGTCCTCATTCATCCTCCTACAGACCAGCTTTCTTCCCTTAATGACGGCGGTGGGGCCGAGCTTATCAGATTCAGTCCATTGTGTATCAGCAGGCGCACACATGTGTGCACATCCATCTGTCCGTGGGCATGTCTGTCTGCCCATGGGCACATATTGCACAGATCCCCACTTACCTTCTGCCTGGACTTCTCACAGCCCACAGAGTGCAAACACTCCTAGTTTGCTGAAAAGAATAAAGCAACCTGCCCAGGGTCCACCTGTGACCTAGCGGGGAAACCCCGCTCACCCTGTCACTCTCTCCGACTCTCCCCGATAAGCTTCAGGGCGCGGGCCGCCTGATGTCCATCCCCAGCCGAGGTCAGGGACCCCGAGAAATCCTCTCCAGCCTTTGCTACCCACAGCCTTGCTTTATTTTTTTCCCTTTTTCTTTTTTTTTCCTATTTTATCATTTTTTTTAATAGGTTAGTCACCATCCAGTACATGATTAGTGTTGATGCAGCGTTCCCTGATTCATTGCTGGCCTATAACACCCAGTGCTCCGTGCAGTCCGTGCCCTCCTTCGTACCCATCCCCGGGCTCCTCAGCCTCGTTTTAAAACAGAAACCTTGTGGCTGCAGAGCTCCTCCTGCTCCACGCCCCATCACCCGGTATAAATCCTCAGTCCCTCCCCTCATCTGCCCCCCAGGGCGCTCCAGTCTCCCTCTGGGCCCCTCCCAGTAGGGGGCTCCCCCCTGTCCTCCCCGCCTGCGGGCCTCAGCTCCCTCCCTCTGGCCCGTGCACTCACCACCCTCCCCCTCTAGAAACCTGCCCACCCCCTTGGAGGGCTGCCGCTGGGCACTGGGATGGCCGCTGGCTGTCAGCGCCTCCCAGAGGCCCGCCCAGGCGCTGCGTATCCCAGACGCTCCGCTCTGCTGCGTAGTGTGTGTGTGTGAATCATTGTCTGAAGATAGTCATTTCTCGAATCACTTATTGTCTGCCTTCTCCCCTGAAACCGAAGCTTTGCAAATCTGCGGCCTGTTTGTCTTCTTCTTCGGTCCTGCGTCCCAGGCACCTGGACTGGAGAGCCCACCGGACAGGCACTGGGCATACTTGTTGCGGGAGGGAGCGGATGAGTAAATGAATAGAGGAGCCAGCGTTGGAACGAAGGAACGCGAGCCCCGCGGGATCCGAGAGAGGAGGCCCAGCGCTCAGCCTCTGTGCCCCCACGCAGGCTCTGCCAGCTCTCAGCCCAGGGGTCTGGTCTGGCTTGGGGAACTCCTCCTCTGAACTCTGTAACTCCCACCTCCTCTGCTCCCTGGAGATCCTGACCCCAGGTAGGGGATGCCTGCTTCTTCCTTTGTGGCTCTCGCAGTGCTAAGGGTCCCATGAAACCGCTCCAGGGCACTTGACGATCTCCCCTCTAAGGGTGATTGTGGGCTCAGCGCATTTCTGCCCCTGGACTGGAGCTCTTGGGCCACACATCTTGGCGTACGTGTGTGTGTGCGCGCACACATGTGCACATGTATGTGTCTGTGTTTGCACCCACGGGATACTTTTTATTCTCACAGCATAGAGAGTGAGCCTCGTGACCGGCACTGGTCAGAGCTCTCTGAGCTGCCACAAGCCCAGGAAACAGTTCCTGGTCTTGTGACGAAGGGTTTCCTGGCTGTCCCTGGACTCTGCGATCTCCCCCCAAGAAGGGGCCTCCAGACTGAGAGAGGGGGAGTCCCTGAGACTCTCACAGACTGGAGACTAGAGGCTGAAGCCTCCCTCCTCCCTCAGGCAGGCAACCCCTGCCGGCCCTCCACCTGCCCATCCTGATCCTCCCGGAACCCAGCAGAAAGGCCCCGAATGGCACCTGGCTGGCTCAGTCAGTAAAGCAAGCATTCGATTCTTGATCTCAGGGTCATGAGTTCGAGCCCCACGTTGGGTGGAGAGCTTACTTAAAAAAGAAATAAAAAAAAAGAAAAGGAGAAGCCGTAACTGGAGCTGCCTCCATTCCACGATCTCAGCCCACGGCCGCCATCATGGCTCCTCATTCATCAACTTAGCCGTCCCTTCCATGACGATGCCACATGCTGCCTGCCGTGACGACGACAGTGATGAACGAGGCTTTCCTGGACTTCTGCCCTAGAGAAAGCAGATGAGCCCTGAAAGAAATCGGGGCTCACTGGAGTGGGGTCTGCCGGCCGTCAGTCCTGTGTGGCGCTCACAGGTGGCACAGAAGAAAAGGGCTCCGTGTTCAAATAACATGGGTGAACACTGACTCCCTGAAGCAAGGCTGAGGCTCATTCTTCCCTACAGACTTCTCAGAGCCTGTGATATGGTCTCCAAGTGGGACTAGAGTACGTAGTACTTTGCCAACCCAGCTGATCACGGACCTCTTTAGTTGCGGAAAGCATTACAGGGCGCTGGCATTCAGGGGCGGGCTGCGGGGGCACCAGTCTGGGAAACTCTCTTTTATGAAACTCCCACTGTGTGTTGGGGGAGTCGGTGCTCAGGACCTACGCTAGAGTGGGGCTCAGGTGCAGCCTTACCTTAACTCCAGCCCCTCCTGGCTGTCTTTGGGTCAAACGCTAGGGTGAGTCTGTGAGGAGGTCCGGGCCTCCTGGAGTCCTCGTCTGCTGTGGGCACGGGAGGCCCTGAGGAAGTCTGTGAAACCAGATAGCCGGGCTCGAGGGACCTCCACGCCTCGTGCCTCAGCTTTGGTGGAAGAGACGGCCTCTTTGAATTTCTGCTTCCTTTTCAGTAAAAGGAGGATAATAATAGCATGGTGTGTGATTGTTTTGGCAATTAAAAGAGCTAACGCATGAGAACTCATAGAGCAGAAGGTGTGGTGCTTTGCGGGGCCTTGGTACGCGCTCTTCCCTCCTCTCCACCATCCTTCCATCCTTCCATCCATCCATCTGTCCATCTCTCCAGCTTTCCATCCTCCTTTCCTTCACCCTTATGGTTATGTGGCCTTGTTGCACATTCTCCTTCTCTGTAAAATGGGTACAATGATAGAACCCACTTCGCCGAGTGGTTGTGAGGACTGAACGGGATGATAAATGCAAGTACGTTGCTCACTTGGGCCAGAAACACAAAGAAGAATTAATAAATGGGAGTTGTATGTCTCCCCCGTTTCCTCCCATTGTCTCTGTTTCCCTGGCTTTTCCTTTGCACATTTTGGCAGATCCAGACTCCAGAAAAAGCAGCTATCCTGAGGCTCTCGGGGGAAAGACCCAAAAGCTGTGGCTCTTTTCTGCCTGGAAGTTGAAGTCTGATTCTGATATTTCCTTTGCTTCTGAGGGAAGAGGGACAGGGAAGGGTATGGACAACAGCAGGGGGACTGAGAAGCAGGGAGGAACTCACGGGCTGATGGCAAAGCTGAAACAGGTCCCCCCATCCCGGCCGCAGGCTCCCTCCACATGCCCCCAAGGGGTGCAGCATGGAGTTCTAGGAAAGGTAAGGAGTTCTGGGACAAGCTAAGACCCAAGGGAGGTTCCGTGGCCTTCCCCAGGCACTCCCGAATTCCTCGGGAAGGTGGTGGCCTGAGAGCCAAGCAACAAGATGACACTATGGCCCTGAATCTTCTCCTGCACCAAGGATGGCCCCCCTAAGCTCCCCAAACACTAGAAGGAGCAGCTGGCATGGGGGCGTGACTGAGGGGGTGCCGAGGACGGTGCACGACCAGGACCTGCTCCAGACGGTGAGTGCCCATGGGTCAACCACAAGTGGAGGGGACAAGGTGTTCGTCCTGGTGGAAGGGATAGCTCCCATCCTCCTCTCGGTCAGCTGCCCTCCTGCTCCTGCCATCCTGGACTGGATGTCTCCCCGGCTGTCTCTCTCCAATCTCTCCTTGTATCTCTTCTGGGATATTTGTGAGATCCTATGTGTGGACCCTGGCCCCCTTCCTCCTCCTGCTTTGGTGTCCAAGAGCTGTCTCCACTTTCTGTCTCTACTGCCGTGCCTCTCAGCCAGTCCACTACTGTCTGGGCTACCCCAGATTCAGGGTGTTCCCTGAGCTCTTGCAAGGAATTCCTTCACATTAAAGCTCCAAAGATGCTGAAAAAGCCCCACTCCTAAGGCTCAGGAGCACAGGACCTCCCTAAAACCCAGGCCGCAGCCAGAGAGCCAACGTTCCCCTGGTCCCCGCTTGAGCCTCACCCTGAGCAACCATCAGAGTAGTCCAAAGCAAAGGCGAGGGATGAGAGTAAGAAGAGGGACCCCTCTGTACTATAAGCATTCAAGGCCTGCTAAAAGCTGAGGGCCAGGCAGGAGCCCTGGGAAGACTCAGCTGGCACTGGAGTCCCCCGTGAACACAGGCAGCATGGCCCACTGCGGCTGGGTGACTGCTGCACTGGGAGACAGCAGCCCATGTCCCCACCCACCCACCCTTCTACTCATACACCCACTGACTCACCTTTTCCCCTTCCCTCCCTCACTCCCTCCATCCATCAAGTCAGTAAGATAGTTTTTTTTTAATTCCAGAAACTAGCAAGTGCAGCTCTGACTGTTGTTTCTCCCCCACAGGCATTCCTTTGTGTTCTAAGCCCACCGTATGTCAGCCAGTTCTCCCCCCTCCTCCAACACCTCATCCCTCTGAGCTTTGGCTTATGTGTTTTCAGAAAGGGCTGAAGCCCGGTAGCTCTGCTCCTTCTTCCAACCT